ACATCTTATATTCTACATGGCCTATTTTCTTCTTTCATTACCAAGATACAGCAGCAGTCAAATAGTAGTAATTCCATGAAAACAAAAAGGAACATTTGTTTGCAATTCTACCCAATTCTACATTTGAAGTTTAAAAAAATTCCACATTCAAAACAAAGCTGCAAAACCTTAGTTAATTGGAATGTTTAGGAAAAGAGATCTTTCTTCCCAGGAGAAATGTAAGCTTCCTGGGATCAGGGAAAATTTCATTTCTGTCTTTGTATTCCCAGTATCTTATACATAGAGCAGACACTCAACAAATTCTTGTTAAATTGAACAAAATTCAATTGAATTCTAATACACTGAATTTATCAGCTAACTATGAATAACCAGAAAATCTTTATTTCACCTACTGTTTAATTTTTTTAAGTTAAATCAATAAGCAAGCATTTCGTAAGGGTTTATTATATACTCAGAGCGTATTTGTATATCTTATACTTTAATATGACATCCAGGTTTTATAACTGTCTGTGTGTGCAGGGGCAGGGAAAGAGGATCTTTGTTTTCATCAAGGAATGAACTCTCAGTGTGAAAATTCCTTCCATCAGATGGGCAAGTCATTGGAGCACTGATTTGCGAAGGGTCACATGATTACAAAATTAGTATGTGTCTAAGACAGATCTTTAACTCAGGTATATATGTTATTGTTAATGTTGTTTGGTCATTTTTCAGTCACGTCTGACTCTTTGTGGTTCCTTTTTGAGGTTTTCTTGGCAAAGATACTGGAGTGGTTTGCCATTTTCTTCTCCAGCTCATTTTATAGATGAGGAAACTGAGGCAAACAGGGGTAAGTGACTTGCCTGGGGTCACACAGCTAGTAAGTGTCTGAGGATGGAATTGAACTCAGGTCTCCTTGACTCCAGGCCTGGCACCACCTAGTTGCCTCACCATGTATGTATGTGTGTCTATTACATATTATTACACACATACAGTTGTGTGTATGTATATTATACATATAACCATATATAAAATATGTTAGCCCATACATACATATACACAGATATACGGATATATGTGTATACGTATACATGCATTTTATATAGATTCATATTCCCATGCACGCTCCTTGAGGACAGGAAATGTTCAAATTTTATCTTTTTATCCCCAACACTTAACAAAATACCTTGAACACTGCAGATTCTTCATCAGAAGCATGTTGATTAACTGATTCCTGTCTCTGAGGTTGGTTTTCCTTCCACTATACCATGGTGCCTCCCAATTCCAGTTTACTGGATAAGCATAATCTCATTCTTTCAACAGAAATAAAATTAGTAAAAGTCTATTATGTGCAAGGCAATCGGGTTCTTGTAGGATTCATCAGTGCCTGGGTTATGATCATTAGTATCAGTTGTTATGAAGTACCATTGATATAGAAGATGAAGGATTCAACTGTGTTGAATCAGGACCCTGGACCTGTTTGTTTCTTTACTAAATCTGAACATTAACTTGTCCTTCTGCACCCCCTGAACAGTAGTTCAGGCATTGTTATCTGCCTTGCTGCTACCCTCAAAGCACCTTAGGCCTTTCTATTTGCCTTTCTACCGAACTTTCCTATTAGAATAAGACCTATCTGACAGCAAGAACTGACTCTATTTTCCATTTGTGCCCTCAGCACTTAGCATATTTCTTGGGACATAGATAAATACTTTTTTATTCTGGACCTCCATCTAAACAAGTGCCCATGCCAGCCATGTTGACAATAATCCCAGTGCAGCCCATGATTCTCCAGCCTGTATCTCCACTTTGCCCCAACTCCTTTACCTCCTCTACTTCCTATCTCCAATCACTTTTCTATTCTCTTTTACCTATACTCTTCTCCCATTAGAATATAAGCTCCTTTAGGGCAAGGGCTTGTCTTTCCTTTTTGCTTGTATTTGTACTCTCAGCACTTAGCAGAGTGCCTTGCATATAGTGCATACTTAATAAATTCTCTATTTGGCTAACTTTCAGTCATCTGCCTCTTTCTCCTAAAAGCAGACCTTTGGAAATGATGCTCATTAATAAAGAATCAGGCCAAGGAGCAGACTAAATAATTAAGAATTATTTTATTTATCTTTCAATTATTTAGACTAGTTCAGTTTCAAGCTATCCTGATATTTTGAAAAGACATTTTACAATCTGTAACTGAAATTTCAAGACCATATTCAATTCAACCCAATAAGTATTTTATTAGGTTTTGCTTTCTATGTATGAGGCATTACCATAGATACTAGGGACAAGAAGACAAAGACTCAGTATTAAACAATTTACTGAAATAATATGTTCTAAAACAGGATTAAAACATAGTAACAACTTCTTTTATTCTCTTCCATTTGGATTTTTTTAAAAATACACTTATATGTACTTTTAATTTATTTTATGAGTTTTATAAATCATTTGAATAAAACACAGAAATCTCATGGAAAACAATGTGTCACTTTAACATGGGAAATACTTGTTTATGTTTGATATAAGCTACACATGTTTTACCTTCAACAAGTCAACATTGCTTTGGATACAAGTATATGAGGTGCTGGGAATCCACAGTATTTTATCAACAAAATAATGAAGCCACCCAAGAAAAGACAGCTAAAAAAGCTGTCCAACTTCCCTTTCTTATCATCAACGCAACTCCTTCCTTCCCAATTCTGTTCTAGAATGGTTAACAAACTTTAAGAAAAAAAAAAGGATCCACTCCCATTTTTTCTCTAAGCTTATTTACTATCTGGTCCACATAAATTCTAGAAGGGAAGAGTAATGAGTATTTCATCTTAACACAAAGCAATATCAAATCCAATTTTTAAAAGTCAATAAACATATATTAAGTGCCTACTCTATCCAAGGCCCTTGTGATGAACACTGGACTACAAAAATCGCATGAGACCACCTCTAGCCTCAAGGAACTTAAAACATGTCCACTAATAAATGAAGTGTAAAAGGTCATATAAAGTAATGAGACATACAGACCACTAACAAGTTGGAGTATCAAGAAAAACCTCATGTAGGAGGTTGCAAACGATATCTGCTTGGAAGGAAGTTGGTGATTTTCAGAGGTGTAGGCAGGGAAAGAGTGCTGTACTATCAATCAATAAATTAACTGATATTTATTAAGTGCCTGCTATGTGCCAGGCACTGTGCCAAGTGCTGGGGATACAAAAAGGAGCAAAAGCCAGTCCCTGCCCTCAAGAAGCTTACAATCTAATGGAGGGAGACAACAAGCAAACATACAAAAATACAAAGCCAGCTCTATACAGGACAAAGAGGAAATGATTAACAGAGGGATGGCACTGGGATTAAGACGGGGTAGGGAAAGGCTTCCTGCAAAAGATGAGATTTAAGTTGGGATTTAAAGGAAGCCAGGGAAGTCAGTAGGCAGCACGGAGGAGGGAGTGCATTCCAAGCATGGGGGATGGGTAGAAAAAATTCCTGGAACCAAGAGATAACAAGACTTAAGGTCTTGTTTGTGGAACAGCCAGCAGACCAGTGTCACTGGATCAAAGAGCATGTGCTGGGGAGTAAGGTACAAGAAGACTGGAAATACAACAGGGGGTAGGTTGTGAAGGGATTTGAATGCCAAACAATGCATTTTGTATTTGATCCTGGAGGCAATTGGGAGCCATGGGAGTTCACTGCATAGGAGAATGACATGATCTGACCTGTGCTTTAGAAAAATCACTTGGTGGCTGAATGGAGGATGGATTGGAGTGGGGAGAGATGTGAGGCAGGCAGATTGTTCAGCGGGTCATTGCAATAATGTGTGAGGTGATGAGGGTGTGCACTAGAGTAGTGGCAGTATCAAAGGAGAGAAGGGGAAAGATATAGAGATGTTGCTAAGGTGAAATCAACAGGCAACAGACTGGATGGAAGGAGGTGTGAAAGATAATGAGGAGTCAATGATGACTCCTAGGTGTGAGCCTGAGGGACTAGGAGGATGGTGTTGCTGTCTATAGTAATAAGGAAGGTGGGCAGTAGAGAATCTTTAGGGAGAAAGATAATGTGTTGTTTTGGAGAGGTTGAATTTAAGATGTCTACTGCACCTCAAGTTTGAGATGTCTGAAAAGTAGTTGTAGAGGTGAGATGGGAGGTCATCAGCAGAGAAGTTGGGGCAGTATAGGTAGGTTGCTGAGAATACCTGTTTGAAAACACAGAGATGGCAAGTCTCACCCCAGGAATGGATATCACTTCAGTTTGATCAGAACAAAGAAAATGTGGATGTGTGATATGAAATTAGATTGGAAAGGAAGGTGGGAACCATTTTATGAAGGGCTTTCAATGCAAGGCCAGGGCTTCTTAAACTTTTCCTACTCACCACCCCTTTTCCTGTTTAGGCAGTGTTAGTAGGCATCGCTTGGCCTGAGGGCATATGCAATGCAAAGTGCAGATGCTTTGTGTTCTGAGCCAAGGCTGCAGGGAAGTCATGTGGCAACACAGACAAGTGCTGCCAGAAACATTACATGTTTGATTTTGAATTAATTTTTGGTCATTGTGCTTTCAGAAATCTTACACTGTTGCCAAATTTTTTGCAACCCCACATGGGTCATGACCCACAGTTTAAGACGCGCTGATGGGCAATTGGGAGCCACTGAAATTTTGACTCAAGAAGAGAGTATTGGTGGTTAGATCTATGTTTTAGGGATATCAATTTGGCAAGAAGATACGTTGGTAAGGAGAGAGATTTGAATTCAGAACAATTTAGCCATCTACTGGAACTTCTTCTCTTAAGAGCTTGCCAGTATGTAATCATTAATAGACCAAGGGATGTTAACAAAGAAACTACTTAGTGAGAAAAAAGAAGACTTAAATATAAAGTTGCCCTAGATAAGCTGCAGTATGAATAATACACCAGCTGGCAAACAAACCTAATGTAAAATCACTTGGGAAGTAAATATGCTATAAAAATACAATGAATTATTCGTTCTAAAGACCTGATATGTTCAATCAATCGGTCAAAAAGCATTTATTTTGCACTTACTGTGTTCCAGGTACAATGCACATCTTGAGAAGCTGGATTCGTTTGTAAGGATGCCCCAAATGAATTTCTAGTCTGTTAAGTGATATGTAAATCCAGATAGAATTTCTGAATCTGATCTGCCTTTCACCTTGGGCCACTTGTTTTCAGAGCAGTAAGCATTAAGAGAGATGAGGCACACAGCCTCAGAAAGAGTATTATCTAATGACTGTTTTAAAAGGTAAGGATATCTACTTCTCGGAAGCCTGGAACCCAAGACATTTATTATCTGAGAGTGTCAAATGACCTTGCCAACTTCTGACTGGAAAAGTGAAGAGCTATCAGGTCATCTGAGTTCTTGCTGTACCTCTTTTTTCCTTTCTGGTCCTCTCAAATCACTTCTCCATGAACACACAGGGAACGACGACAAGTGGAACTAGCTATGCAATCAGCAAAGCTCGGAAACTCAATCACACACCCTACTCTTACCCACAATGATGGAAAAAGAGCTTTTTGAACTTCATATATATATATATATATATATTATATATATATAGATATATATATATATACACACACACAGAGACACATATATATACATATATGTATATATATATACACATGTGTGTATAAATGTATATGCATGTAAATGTAAATCTATATAAACGTATATTTATATAAGTATAAATATATATGTATATAGTACATTCCACATGGGCCTCAGTTTCAACCAAAATATATAGTAAAAGGGTTGAACTCAGTCATGCCTAAGACCCTGTAGAACAAATATTCTAGGGCCATTTTGACTGAGTTTAGTGACCACTTCAATTAAACCACCTCTCAATTAAAAGAAAAAAATGGCACAATTGGCTTGGCAGTCTAATGTAATTAACTCGTCACTGCACTGACTAGTCAGTTCAATCAAAACAACACATCCAGAGAATTTAGGAATCCTACCATTTTGACATATTAAAAGAAATTCTATACATTTATTATGAGTTAGATGACCAAGTGAGGTTTCCATTAATATCATTACACCATATTGGCAGTGAGCATTTAACATGACAGCTGGACCTTGAAGCCCCAGGGCCCAGACATCATGGCATCTGGATGTCCATTCCACTAGGATTAAAGTGCCAGGAAAAGGCCTAAGAAAGGCTGTCAAAAGACAGAGGATAGGGGCAAAGAGCACATTAGTTAAGGCACTATACCAGCATGAAGATAGAGGAGATCCTTCTCCATCATTGCTGTTAGCAGGGCAGCTACTAAAAAATCAAAACACAGTCAGATGTTTTCAGCAGAAAGTGGTTTAAGTTAGGGGCGGATTGTTTATTGGGGAAAGAACAGGGTAATTAAAGGGGATGTTTCTCAAAAGAACACGTAACTACCAGAACAGCTGTTCACAGCACAACTAAGAGAGTTGATTTAAATAAGCGACCACAGAAACACATGTAACTACCATCATTAAATTCACTTTTCCGTTATTACTCTAATAAAGGCCTAGAATACATTCAAAGATTATGCAAAAGGGAAAAAAATATAGACTGCTTACATTGCAGATTTCCCAGCCTAACCCTTGGCTTATCTAAGGGATCTTCCTCATTTCCAAAATCAGTAATTTTCTGAGCACTAGTATAGTTTATGTTTAAATATATATATATATACACGCACACACACACACATACATATATATAACACGTGTGTATGTGTGTTACTCTCTAATGGATATTGTACTGTGTATATTAGTTTTATACATACATATTATATATGTGTATATATGTATGTATGTGTATATTTGTATGCATGTGTATACATATACACACATATATTACTGCATATGTAATACTTCAAAATTTCATCCTGCTATGGTATGGAGGTAGGTGGGCCAAGTGCAGGTCATATAATGGCCTAAGAAATTAAGAGTTTTGAGTATGGGGTCAGTGTACATCCGCTGCCTGAGGGCCAGCCTAGTTAAATTCAGAGAGACTCTAGTTTCACCAAAGGTTATAAAAATTTCAACAACAGAACTTCTCAAGAATCCTTTCACTGAACTGTAGCAGGGTTATTTATTCTACATTGGCAGAGGAAGTACCCAAACCAATAAAATCATAAATCCTTTAAGTATTAAAAAAAATTTTAAAACAAAATTAGAAACATCAAGCATGCGACATCATCCCATGTAAAGTATTGGGAGAAATAATAATGATGATAATAGCTGACATTAATATAGCATTTACTGCGTTAAGAGCTATGCTAAGCACTTTCTTATTGTCTAGTCATTTTTCAGTCATGTCCAACTCTTTGTTTTCTTGGGAAAGATACTGGAGTAGTTTGACATTGCCTTCTCTCATTCTACAGATCAGGAACTTAGACAGAGGTTAAATGAGTTGCCCAGGGTCACACAGCTAGTAAATGTCTGAGGCTGGTTTTGAACTCAGGTTTTCCTGACTCAAGGGTCAGAGCTCTATCTGCTGTAGCTGAAGAAATTGCTTCTTGCCGCTTCTTACACCAGACCTTTGCTTAGCCTTCCAATTGTTAACATTCTCCCCTCAATTATTTTTTGTATGTTTTTATTTACTTATCTGTGTATCTGTTGTGCCCAGCATCTATCTCCCCACCATCTTGTAAGCTCCCTGGGGATAGGTATTGTTTTCATTTTTATCTTTGAATCCTCAGAAATATGAGTGTGGCACATGCTAGGCACTTAATAAATGCGTGTAGAAGTCTACATCTCTTAAAGATTAAAAGGGGCTGAGTAACACTGATGCCAGTACTGTTTGGGTTTTTACTTTTCAAGAGCTCACATCTAACTGGAGATTATCAGTTTTTGTCAAAACATACTAGAATAAAAAAGGAAGCTGCCTCTGCTTTTGTAGTCTCTCCATTTAAATTACTTTAGTGCTCCACATCCTTAGAAAATCCTTAGCCTGGTCCCAGAAATGTCTAACCTCCAGGGATGTGATAGAGGCAGTATGGACTGGCTAGCAGGACCAGATTGTTAAATTTTCAGTGTGAGTGCTTACACTTTGGAAATCAGCCAAATGCTACAAATCAGGATTTGATTTATTTTTTATTGACTGTCCAGACTTAAGAAAGTGATAGAGAAAATGTCAATAATGCAAATTAAATTTAAAGTATGTCGTGAATACATTTCTCCCTTCCCCAAGCTGGCTGTTAAACATTTACCAAACACTCTACCCTTCCCCCTCCCCCCACCAAGATACTAAGAGTTCTATGAATTGGGGATGAGCTGGAGCTGGGCTAGGCCCTAGCAGACCCTTCTAGCCCATGGTAGGTGCAGACCCACTTCTACAGAAGTGATTCTTAAGCCCAGAAAAGAATCAGAAACTTTTAGCTTTTCCTCTTGGCCCAGATTTTGAAAATGGTCAAAGTTGAGCTCTATATAACTTCACTAGGCTTGTAGGCAGGCTCCTAGTATGATTTCCATACTTATCCTTACTTATTTCCCAGCCATTGCTAACTGATGAGTGGACACTAGGTGTCTCATTTTCCACACCTTGGGCTGCTCCCTGGGAAATGTTACACTTTAGAACCTAAAAACAAAGTCCAACAATCCACACTGCTATGTTTCCTCTCTCTTAGCTTTATCAAGATTTAGGATGTCATAACACAAGAAACCCAGGGCCTTTGGAAAATCTGTGTGGTATGGAAGAGATGGTTTGAAATGATGATAATAACAGTCAAAAAAGTATCAATAAACATTGGTTAATTGCTTCCTATGTACCATAATCGCAATAATATTCTTCATATTTCATGGATCAGTGATTTGCTTGGTGTGGGAACTCCTTTCCTAGATGTAAATCTCAGCCCAGATTAAGACTAGACTTTAACTAGATGGTCTTTGAAGTGGATAAAAAAGTCATTGCCCTGCAACTAATTTGTTAGTGAACCTGTCCTCCTAGACCAGGCTCATCATTAGTTATTGGGCAGTCAAGAAGAATTTATTAGGCACCTGATATAGCCAAGCCTTGCGCTGAGTACTGGTGATACAAAGAAAGGCCAAAGTACTCAATGATCTCAAGTCCATCCTCAAGAGCTAAAGAATAAACATTCATCTGAGTCTACTATGTGTCAAGCACTGTACTAAGTATGATCTCATTTGAAAATCCTCAAAACAACCCGGCAACATAAATGCTATTATTATCTCCATTTTGCAATTGAGGAAACTGAAGCAGATGTAGTGACTTGCCCAGGGTCACACAGTGTCTGAAGTCAAATTTGAACTCAGGTCTTCTTGACTCTAAGACCAGGGCTCTATCCATTGCATGCACCATCAGCTGTGAGCTTGTACTCTACTGAGAATGCAGGATTGCCAACATGATGCATCTGATTGGGACTTTTCATATAACTATAATCACAAGGTGTATTATTTTATGAATTCTATCATATTTTATCACGTACCACCTTTCTTTTGACCTACAGTTGAATAAGAGTGATTCATTCTAAGACTCAGAAAATGAGAGGCAAAAAGGAAAGATCTAATACAGATCTGTTTTTAGATCTAAGTAGGAAATCCAAAGCAATTCCAACACCATCTGCCCCTTTTCTTCATACCAATTTCACTTAGTCATTCATGCTGAGAATTAGGAAATAATATGATAACAAATAACAAACTTTCTCCCCTCAATTACTTTGAGGGCTGAATATTATTATTATTACTATTATTATTAAAGTCAACGCTTATTAAATGCTTGCTGACCTGACTTGAGCAACAACTGATACGTATAGAGTGCTTTAAGATTTACAGAGTAAATATTTCCACGTATTACCTCACTGAATCCTTCTACCAACTTTGTCAGGTAGGTGCTATGATTATCCTAATTTCATGGATGAGGAAACCAAGATTCAGAAATGCTAACCCTACAGTCACACAGCTATTAAGCCTCTGAGGCAAGATCTGAACCCAGATCTTCTGGATTCAGTCCCTCTGCACAATACCATGCTGTCCCTCTTAGTCTTAGGTAGAGAGAAAGAAAGAGTCTTGGTGCTTTTTTTTTTTAAATGGAGGGGAAAGTAAGTGAAAAGAAAAGGATTCAACTTTAAAGTTGTTCTATATGGCAGAACTTCCTAAAAATTAGTCTTTCTAAGAAACAGAAGAGGTAGACATGGTGTTACCTTCCCTAAAGACATTCAATAATAAGCTATCACCTCATCTGTCTCACTAACAGCTAGGGTGGGATGTTCTATGGTTGAAGGGCAGAGACTTTTGGCTTTATTGGGGCAGATGGATTTTTTAAAAATATTTTTTCATCTATTTAAATGTTTATATTTATAAATTAAAAGGATCACATTTTTTGAACCAGAGGGGACTTAAGAGGCCATTAAATCCAACTCCCTCATTTTATAGGTGAGGAAACTTCATCTTGCAGAGGTCTGCCCAAATGGCTGGACCAGAGTCACATAGCGAGTGTGTGTGTGTGTGTGTGTGTGTGTGTGTGTGTGTGTGTGCGCACGTGTCGGGG